ATAAGAAAATCTTAAACAGAACATGCAATAAAGAAAGCCTAAATAGGGCTCTCTTTACAGGAAGTGTTTATGGAAGGCTGTGAAAGTCACAAGCAGGGAGGTGTGACTAGGGTTCATAAACAAAGGGATTTAAATGGCAGAGGATTGAGCAGTGAGGCTGCAGGGGCATGTTCTATACACCAAAACTGCTTCATTAAGCTAAAGTTGTTCAGGTGACTATAGTGTCCCCTTTAATGAAGCAGTTTTGGTGTATAGATTATGCCCCCTACAGTCTCACCGCTCAATGCTCTTGCCAGTTAGTGCTTAAAGGGACACTATAGTCACCCAGACCACTTCAGCTTAATGAATTGGTCTGGGTGCAATGTCCCTCAGGTTTTAACCCTTCACGTGTAAACATAGCAGTTTCAAAGAAACTATGTTTACATAGCAGGGTTAATCCAACTTCTAGTGGCTGTCCTCCTGACAGCCGTTAGAGACGCTTCTGTGACGCTGGATGCGAAATTCGCATCCCGCGTGCAGAACGTCCATAGGAAAGCATTGAGAAATGCTTTCCTACGGACTGTTAAAATGCACGCGGCTCTTGCCACGCATGCTCATTACACTCCACTCCGGAGCTGACGGCGGGGGAGGAGAGGTCACCAGTACCGAAGGGGAGGCCAGTGCGCTCAATTAAGGTAAGTGGCTTAAGGGTTTTTACCCCTTCAGCCCAGCGGGAGGGGGACCCTGAGGGTGAGGGTGCCCCAAGGATTATGTAGTGTCAAGAAAATGAGTTTGTTTTCCTGACACTATAGTGATCCTTTAAATCGCTTTGTTTATTCAGCTCCAGCCAGAACCTTCCTGGATGAGACCCCACACAGACTGCACGAAAATAGGTTTCATATTTACAGCACATTGGGGGATACTTATCAGTGTCCTAAAAAATGTTGGTTAAATTCTGTCCTTATGTTGTATTTATTATAGTCATATATAGTTTTCATTGAAATGTCCTTTTCAGAAGATTGCCAAATTTAGAATTAAAATGTAACTTGGTACAACAGAAAAGTGGCATAATTTTTCCTCCTTTCTAAATTTGGCAGCATATATTAATAGTAATATTCCATAAATCCATTGCATCAGATGAAGAATGGCACATATTCTAAAATGACGGGGTAAACAACAGATGAAAAAATCTGACATTTGATAAATTGCAGACAAATTTGACTAGTGTGCCTACCTTTTCCTAATTAAATGCTATAAGAATATATATCCGGAAACAAAATAAGACAGGGTGCTCACTCAAAAGACCCTATTCCTCAAAGACCAAATAAATCTACAAATACTACTCAATGAGGAGCACAACCATAACAATTAAGACACTTCAATGATTCGGTCCACAGTGGACCCAATCAATAAAGTGTCTTTATTTTTATAGTTTTGCTCCTTATTGAGTAGTAGTTGATAAATTGCGCCACAAGTTTCTCAGATGGAAAAGTGACATACTTTTGATAAATATCCCCTAGTGTGTTATGGATTCAAACCACTAGCAAATTATTTTACTACTTTAAAGGGACACTATAGTCACCAGAACAACTACGGCTTATTGAATTTGTTCTGCTGAGTAGAATCATTACCTTCAGGCTTTTTGCTGTAAACACTGTCTTTTCAGAGAAAATGCAGTGTTTACATTACAGCTTAGTGATAACTTCACTGGCCACTCCTCAGATGGCTGTTAGAGATCCTTCCTGGGTCATGACTGCCTAAAATGCATCCAAACATTCAGTATCTCCTCCCTCTGCATGCAGACACTGAACTTTCCTCATAGAGATTCACTGATTCAATTCATCTCTATGAGGAGATGCTGATTGGCCAGGGCTCTGTTTGAATTGTGCTGGCTCTGCCCCTGATTTGCTTCTTGGTCAGTCTCTGCCAATCCTATGGGGAAGCATTGTGATTGGATCAGGCAACCACTTCTGATGTCAGAGGTCAGAGGAAGTTCGCAGGCAGCAGCTTCAGTTTTGAATACAATTATGATTGTATTATCTTTAGGGAGGCAAAGGGAGTCAAGGGGGCTAGATAGTGGTTTTAACACGTATAACATGTTTGCGTTCCTGATCCTATAATGCTCCTTTAACCTCTTAAGACTGCAGGGCGTTCTATGCCGTCCCTATTTTGATGGCTCTAAACGCTGCAGGGCGGCATAGAACGCCCCGCGATCTTATGTACTTACCCAGTCGCTGGTGATCGTGGTATGGGGACTTAACTGGGAGCCCAGGGAGTCCCCCTCTGTCCTCTTCGGCCCCCCTGGGCAATGTGATCCAAGGCATTGCCAGCAGGGGGAGTGCCTGTAATGACAGGTACTCCCTCTGCTGTCTGAAAATGAAAGAAAATAAGTTAAAACAGTGTAAAAATAAATATATACTTAGATCATATTTATTATATATATGATCTAAGTATATATACACACATACACTAAGTGAATTTTAATATTATATACATAATATATATCAAAATACACGTACAATGATATTTATTAAATATATAATTTTCATTATCTATATTTATATATAATAAAAAATAAATATGTAAATACTTAAAAAAATAATAAAAAATAAACATATATATTAATGTGTAATTTCGTTCTGTATTTTAAAATATGTATATACGTATATATCACTATACCTAAAAATAATTTTAAAAAATTGTGTGTGTGTGTGTGTGTGTATATATATATATATATATATATATATATATAATAATTTTACATAATTAGGACATTTTATTAATTACAATTTGCAGGACCTGTCTGACAACCCATGCCGAAAGTATAGGGAATTGAATTCGCAAGCACTATATTTAACCATGTAACTTTCCAAGACAACATAAAACCTGTACATGGGGGGGTACTGTTTTACTCAGACTTCGCTGAACACAAATATTAGTGTTTCAAAACAGTAAAATGTATTACAACGATTATATTGTTAGTGATATTTTTGCATTTTTCATACACCAATGGCACTTACACTGACAATATAATTGTTGGATACATTTTACTGTTTTGAAACACTAATATTTGTTCAGCAAAGTCTCCCGAGTACAACAGTACCCATCATGTACAGGTTTTATGGTGTTTTCAAAAGTTACAGAGTCAAATATAAGGCTTACATTTCAGTTTTTTCACATTAAAATTTGCCAAGTTGGTTATGTTGCCTTTGAGACCGTACGGTAGCCCAAGAATGAAAATTACCCGCATGATGGCATACCATTTACAATAGTAGACAACCCAGGGTTTTGCAAATGGGGTATGTTCAGTCTTTTTTAGTAGCCACTTAGTCACAAACACTGGTCAAAATTGGCGTCCAAATTAGTTTTTTGCATTTTAAAATATTAACACTAACTTTGGCCAGTGTTTGTGATCAAGTGGCTACTAAAAAAGACTGGAAATACCCCATTTGCAATACCTTGGGTTGTCTACTTTTGCAAATGGTATGCCATCATGGGGAGTAATTCTTATTCCTGGGCTACCATATGGTCTCAAAGGCAATGTAACCAATCTGGCGAATTTTAATGTGAAAAAACTGAAAAATTTAACACGCTATATTTGACCCTGTAACTTCCCAAAACACCATGAAACCTGTACATAGGGGGTACTGTTTTAAACGTGAGACATCGCTGAATACAAATGTGTATTTTATTGCAGTTAAAGCAAACAGTATTTTGACATTCACAGTAAAAATGTTGCGTAGAACGGAGAAAATTTAAATCTTATTTTATCCCATTATTTTTGTTATTCATATTAAATTATGTTCCATACCTAAATATTTGATGTTAAATGAAAGCCCTATTTCCCCTGAATAAAATGATAAATAAGTGTTCCAAACAAATTTGTTAAGCCAGCCCCTTGTTTATATATATATAGATATATAGAGATGGTCTGGCAGTTTATTGCCTACTCTATGCAATGCCTTGTGTCCAGCTCTGGTGATGGCTATCTAGATGTTTTATGGTCTAGGCCTGGTGCCAGAACAAAGACCACAACTCTTAACATATGTCAACACACATCAAACACCAACTCATGCTTTTGGCATGACAGCCTCCCATATGCCGATTATATTGCCGTATGCAGACTGGCACTTGTTTACATTCCTCTCTGCCAGGAACTGCGACCCTCCGAGTGTTTTCACCATGGATGGTGGTTAAGATGAAAACATCCTTTTTATCCCTGTACTTGAGTGCCAGCAGTTCATTCTGGCAGAGAGCTGCTGTTTCCCCTCTTCATTTTTTTGTTCGCTAAAGCCTTTGGGAAACCTGTGCGACTCTTCCGAATAGTGCCACAGGCCACGGTCTCGAAGCAGTACACATTTTTAACAGTGGGATGCGATTATAAAAGTTATCGATGTATAAATGATAACCTTTATTAAGTAGCGGCATTATTAAGTCCCAGACAATTTTCCCACTTGTCCCTACTATATCTGGGCAACCTGGGGGATCAAGGTGGCTATCCCTTCCTTCGTATACACGGAAGGTGTATAGGCAGCCACTGCCACTTTGACACAGTTTATAAAATTTGATCCCATATCGGGATCTTTTGGATGGGATATATTGTCTAAACCCCAGTCTTCCCTTAAACTTCATGAGGGACTCGTCAATGGAAATGTTTTTATTGGGGGTATATATAGTGGCAAATTTACTGTTAAAGTGGGCAATAAAAGGGCGTATTTTATAAAGATGATCATACTGCGGATCACCTTTTGGGAGGCACTTGTCACTAAAGTGCATAAATCGCAGTATGTCTTCATATCTTTCCCTCATCATTGTCTCGGCAAAAATGGGGGTATTGCAAATGGGATGTTTAGACCAATACATCCTAATTGTGGGCTTTTTAATTAGCCCCATTAACATGGTCAGTGCCCAGAATTGT